AAACCTTAACTCATACACGGTAGGTTGATTGGGATATATATAGATATTTATTACTTTCTTTTAATTGAAAATTTAGTTCCACCTCCACATTTATTGAACTAAATAAAAGTCAAAAAGGTAGAAATTTAAAAATAAGAAAATCAAATATATTATATAAATCATATCATTACGTTTGATTTGAATTATCCTGTTTTTGTAAAATTCTAAACTTTAAAATACTTAAACTAACATAGTTGGCAGTAATTTACATCTACTTATTTTTTCAATATTAAAGATTCAAATTTTCATGTTTCATATTTATTGTACAAAGAGAAAAAATATATATTTGTTGTTATGCTGCTAAGGTAATCACCTCGATATATTTTTAATCAAAACAACTTTAGGTTTTACTTTTCCTTTTTAAATTTATATAAACTCCTTAGGATCAACTTTGCCTTTCCTAAGAAGATAACATTAAATTGGATCATCTTGTTCTTATTTCAAAGGGAGATGGTAAAAAATATAAAATCAATTTTTTTAGTGGAATAGTTCTCTATATGTTCTGGTGCGAACAATTCTTTATATAGTCGAATGATAAGAAATATTTTAATGTGGGATTTAAAGGAGAAAAAAAAACCATTTTTGTAACATTAATTAATTGGATAATTTTTTCATTCAGTGAAGTCGATCGTGGTAAGTCTACCCATATTAAACAAGATAAAAAATGGGAAATAAAGACGAACAAAATTTGATAAGAAATTCTAAAACGTTATAATTATGAGTACAAACTACAAAGATAAAAATAGAATCAATATCCGAGTACAGAAAGGACACTTAAACTACAAATTCACATAACTTATTTCACTTCCTCACATCCTTTCATCTCTCAATCTTAAGTTGCTTTTTTTCTTTTTAAAACAAAAAGAAAAAGAAGTTTCAGGTAAGTTCCGGGTAAGAAACTAAAATTCCAGGTGGCTTTACGAGAATCTGAGATGGAAGGAGAAGACAAAGGGACATGGGTTTAAGAGAAGGAAAAAAAGAGGGCTTCAGCTGTGGAAGAAATCATAGAGCTTACAGCTTAGGGATTTGAAACCTTTGGAGATGTTTCCTATTTGCGAAGCAGGAAAAATAGAGATCGTATACCGAAAGTGAAGTCTTTACATCATAAAAATTTACCCTATTTACAGAAACGTGGCTCAGTGGGCCACCCAACTCAGTAATACAATAAACCATGATCGAGCTATATCTCCTCCCAATGCCTTATTTTCATGGTGAGGCTGAGATATAAATAAGAATACAGTAAAGGTAAATTCAAAATACCCGCTTCGGCTTCACTATGCCCCAAACTTTGCATTTTCAGATTTCCAGTGCCTCGTTAAAAGTTACTGTAGGAACAAACACAATCAACATAAATATTCTTGCATTTGACTGCCTCCTTTCATGGTCTAATGCATGCCCATGTTAAGTTATCCCTCAAAATTATTGTTTCAAAAGTTAAATATATGCTACTTGCCAAATTGTGATGTCTGAAAGTTGTTTTAATTATTATTTTCTAATGAATGCACATGCATGATGCAGGTAACTTCGATAACTGGGAATTGGGCAGCAATATCAAATGTGGGATTCGGCTTACCATATTTACTTCAAACTCAACTTGGTGTGGTGTATTATGAGTTCTCAAGTAGCTTGTGAAACTTCTGTACCCTCCTACTTGAACTACCACTAGGAGACCTTGGCTGATTGTGGCTTGAGCTGTTTCCATGCAAACGTTTCCTTTTGCTATTTCTACGAAACAAAAAGTCCTCTGTATCTAAAACGTATGAAACCTACGCCAGCAAATGCCAATTGATCAGCAAAAAGTTGACATCAGGTTACAGAAGCAAAGTTATTATCCAACATATTGCTTTCATGAAAAAAATAAAACCTGGAAAGGTATAAAAGAAGGGAAGAGAAAGAAACTTCTAAATAACAATTACCTTCGATGAGTTGCAAGCGATTTTACACTCCAGACCATTAACAATTTTAAGCCCTTCCAAAGCATGACATGCGGCAGAATTCTCATCGCCACAGGCATATTTACGTTTGTTTCTGTAAGAACCATGGGATTTGATGACAAGGCAAACTAACGGAGGAAAATTGAATTGCTATGCTTCAACAATCTTAATACCTCTTCAAGAAGATCCCCGACTTCACTTTTTTCTCGGGGAGAACTGAAAAGAAGTCATTATGCAGGTAAGACGAAAAAATGGGGTCCATGGAAACAGCAGTTACTTCAGGCTTATCATAGCCATAGTCCATAAGCTGAATAGAAAGATGAGTTGGTGTGGACCACTGCAAAATAGATTTAGTCATCAGTTTAATGATTAAACAATTTAATACTTGGTTCAAGTGTGGCCACCACAACCACAAAAAATAACAACGATATATTCATTAAAAAAACATACTCGTTCAACACGATAGATATTCTCATCATGAAGAAGTACACGAGCATTTTCATGATAAACTGCATCAACAAATCTTCCCATTTTTCTTGATTTTTCATACGCATATAGTTGGAGAAGCTTGTTATCCATCTCATCCGTGGCAACTGTTTGAAGCTGAAACATAGCACGCATTGATTTTTCAGTATGTCCAACAAGAAAGAGTAAAGATAAATAAGAAAATAAAACTTGAGACTAAGAAAAAGAAGTCCAGAAGTATGTTACCTGTTTAACAAGTTTATAAATTAGTTTGTCTAAAGTGAAAAGAACATATGACTGGGTTCCAATAGTGGCTCGGCAATCGTCCTCAAACTTTGTGTTATCAGAGGAACCATCAAGTAGACTGTAAAGTGCATTCATGAACCTAACCCACAGAAAATGGTGTATTAATTAATGTTGCATAAATCAATATATGGTTATAGGGGACGAAGGGCAAGGACCTAGAATGTACAGCACCTGGCATAGAGATCCGTGGGGGTCGAATCATTTGAAGCCCTCCATTTCCTCTCTGAGGATGAAGAGTTGATCTTCGCAGATTGTATCCTCTCATACAGTGTCTGAGAACGGGAAATAAAACAAAAATATATAAGTTTCATAAAACAAGGAAAACAGAGAGAGATTCTTTTATGGAACTATCTTTTAAGTAGACTCCTAGATAATGAACCTTACTTGGTGGAGCCTAAAAAGCACATAAAAAGAGTCATTTCCGTAAAATACATGAGACTCTTTTCCTTCTTCATGCAACACCGGAGGAACATGCTTGGCAAGAGGCTTTACAGTCAATAGAAAGCGTTCTGAGAATGGTATAGATGTTCCATCTCCTTCAACATCATGGGCATCAGCCATCCCTTCTGCCTCACCTTCACTCTCGGCCTTATTTTCATCATGGTCTCCATCCTCATGATCTTCTCGAGAACAATCCTCTCCATCACCAGAATCACTTGCAGAAACATCACCATTCTCAGACGCATTTTCGCTGTCCTCCGATGACCTTTGAGCACTTTCCTCCCCTTCATCATCAGCATCAGCATCATTTTCTCCACCAGCCTCTCTGCAGCATAATTCTTCATCACCTCGGGCATTTGGATATTGCCTACCAGTAACACCATCCTTTGCTTTTGGCACGGGTTTCAACTCTCCGTCATAATTGGCAAAATTGTCTTCTTCAAAATCTCCATTTGGAGATAATTCGCCCTCTTCTCTTTCTATCTTTAAGTGTCTGACAGACTCTTCATTATATCTATGGCTTTTTACACCGTCTGAGATCATGCCATTTGCAGTAAGAACTTGTCTTGTAGAGCCACCACCCTATAAGAGGTTCAGCTTCATTAGAAGATAAAATCACCATTACTTAATTCAAACTCATCATGAACAAACTACAACCAGTAATCTAACCGCAATTCATGCAAAAAGCAGTGGCCAAAACTATAAATGAGTGGAACATTAACTCTTATTGCCTATTTGTTAATCATCTCTTGAAAATCAATACCAGCTTCCATAATAAAATGGCAAGTCGTAAAAGGTGCCAAAACATCCACCACAAACCACCTCTCCACTACTCTGTTCAGTCAAAATTGTGTCGATCACAATTTTACAATCTGCACACCTATGCCGACAGTAAAAATTAAGACCAACAGGAAAACTAATAACTTAACAAAGACTAAGGACATTATATAGTTCTATCCATATGTAACTTTCATGCAGCACACTCTTCAATTTAGCAGGACAACTTACTACCCAAAGCTTACCAGGACTATCACAATTTAGAATTCGGTTCTTGGCAACTTACTACCTTTGCTGGAGGGCTG